GGTTTAGGGTTTAGGGTTTCACCAATGCCCAAAAAACAAAAAACAAGTTGCACCAACAGTCACCACATTCACATGGCATGTGTAGACCCGCTGAGAGCGAAGATCTCGGATATGACTCCGAAGCTCGATCTCTAAAGCACGTTCATTAAGCTCACGGATCTGGATTATCGGCGAGTGTGGGCCAATTTGTCATGATACGATCAAAAACATTGGTCTCAAGTTCAGGGCTCGTTGTTTAGGGCCCAAGGTGCCTTCAACTCAAAACAAACAGTGACAGTGGCAAAGCGGCCTTCAACAGCTCACCCTTCCTCAACCCTAAACCCTAAACCCTTATCCCTAAACCCCCAAACCCCTAAACTCCACAACCTGTGAACAGTGAACTTGAGACCGGGCGGCAAACTTTACAACTTCGGCAACGACTTTTCAGGTAAGAACCATACTTGGAGGATCATGGGACTTAGTAAGTAGGGTTATAAGTCCCCTAGTTGGGGTTATAAGTATAGATACCTTAGTTATAACCCTACTTATTAAGTCCCATGATCCTTGAAGTAGTTCATGCCGCAGGTTTAAAGCTGCAAAACTCTGCGCAATACAGCCTCTGAATCGACCTCTAAACTACAGGGTTCAGGGCTTAAGGCCTTAGGTTTCAGGGTTCAGGGTTTAGGGTTCAGGGCTTAAGGCCTTGGGGTTCAGGGTAGATGAAAACTCCTATCAAACCCTTACACAAGCCGTAGACCCAACTTAAACAGCGGCCGGCTGAGCCTGAAGCCCTGTAGACAAATCCCTCCAGAACCTGCAAAACCTATACTTACTTGTTAGACTTAAAGGATCATGGGACGTAGCAAGTAGGGTTATAACTAAGGTAACTATACTTATAACCCTAATTGGGGGGGACTTATAACCTTACTTACTAAGTCCCGTGATCCTCCAAGTAGGGGTTATAGTACCTAGAACCCAAACCCTGAACCATAAACCCTAAACCCTAAATCCTGAACCCTATAAATCGTAAACCCTAAACCCCAAATCCTAAACCCTATACACTGTAAACCCTGCACCCTAAAGAACCCTAAACCCTATACACCGTAAACCCTAAACCCTAAAACCCTGGTAGCCTAAACCCTAGACGCCGGGTCTCTGCGGCCTTCCGGGTCTTGGACTGGGTGTCAGTGCAAAGGGCCGGAAAACCGTCCTGGCTTTGGGGGGAGCAGGGTTTAGGGTTTAGGGTTTTAGGGTTTAGGGTTTAGGGTTTAGGGGGGTTTAGGGTTTAGGGGGGTTTAGGGTTTAGGGTTTACAAAAGGTTTAGGGTTTAGTGTGTGAGATGTTGGGCAGTTTAGGGGTGCAGGCAACAAGAAGGCCTCTATAGTTACAGTTGAGTTTGGGGGCGACAGGCTATATTCTGCTATAGATATGTCTCGTTTTGATGGGTTGAGGTGACAGTGAATCAGTGAAGGTAGGGACCAGTCTTTACGCTTTAGGTCTCTAGTCTCGACATGTACAAGCTACCCACCCTCCAGCCCATAGACGCCGTGACACTTCTAAGACGCAAGCGCGCACATGCTCAAAGCTGCCAACCCACTCGGAGCCAGCATGGTTCCACCAGCCAAGCTGCAGAAGAAACATAAGCATAAAGCACCGCAATCTTCTTGCCTGCACCTGTCGTTTTATTGCACTCCAGGCGAGCACTCAAACCACGCTCGTCCACGACAACTGCCCTTGCCGGCATGCCTTCCGTGTCAGAGTATCGCAAGCATCCCCAAAGCTTCACCAACTTGAACCAAGCAAAAGCACGAACACAGCGAGGAGCTTGCTCGTTCATCACCAGTCTTTCAAAGGCTTTGACCTGAGAGACCAGCAGTTGGTTGGCCTGGCGGCGGCCGCGTAGATCTTGATTGCCCAAAGCCAGTGCCAACTCTTCCATAGTGTTGCGTATGACGGGGCAGCGACTGATTTTAGAGTCAAGCGACACCTCCCCGGCTGACTCCATCAAAGTCTTCAGGCAGCTGCCTGGAACCGATCGTCCACAAGGGGGCCTGCAGATACGCCGCAAAGTGGTCTGCAGAGGGCCAGCTGACCCCAAAAGCGCTTCGAACCCATGCCACGACGCGCTCCCACGTCTTGACATGCTTCCGTAAGGTGGAAGCTCGCCTGCCCTTGCCCACACGACCAGAAATTCCAGCTTCCGCAGCTGGGAGCCCGGACGGACGTGGCGATCAAGCGCTGGAGTTGAGCGAGCCAGCGACGACGTTGCTTGTCCTCCCCTGCTTTGCGAGCCTGGTCCACTGCACTCAAAGACGCCGCACCATGAGACCGTGTAGGCCAATGACCCTGTCGCAGCCGCTTCTGCTTGTTTTCCACAACCGGAGCCCAAGCTGTAAGAAGGCACACCGATCCCGCAGACAGCGGCAGCGATGCATCGGCTCGACGGAACTTTGCTGCTGCACTAGCCCATTCCACACTGCTTTGCACGCGCTGACCGAGCCCACCGCGAAGCCGCCAGGTCCGACGCCTGTGCTCGAACTCTTGCAAAACACAGTCTTCTAGCGAGGCCAACCCCAATTCGCGGAGCAGCGAGGAACCGAGCTCTGCTGTGCTCAGATCGGATAGAGTTGCCAGTCTGCACACACTCCAACGCCCTGCCAACGGCTGCAGATGAGGAAAGTCGCCGAGCAAGTCACGCAGCTCCATGAACCCTCAAAAGAAATCCTACGGCTAACCTACCTGGATCTAGCTCTAGGCTCTGGGCAGAGCCAGAGCCACAAGCTGCAACTATACTATACAAATGCTTCGCACACTTATGGTACATTATGACACGCGACGCTTAAGGTGCTGCGCTTCGCTCCGCACTGTCCAGCGGGTCCGGCCGTAGGATTCTAGGCCAGTTTAGGGCGTGATGGAGCTTTTGAAGTAGCTTGCGAGCTCCTTGAAGGGATTCTGAAATGACCCAGAGAGCCCAATACCCTTCAAATAAGGAATATAGATTACATCTTAATATGAAGCCCCTTATAATTTAAGCTATATTCCTTAATTAAGCTGTATTGGGCTCTCCGGGGACGCTTCTGAGGCTTTAAGGTTCGGCTGCATGGGGGGATGTAGGGGTTTAGGGTTTAGGGGTTTAGGGGTTTAAGTTTAAATTTTGTGTTTAGGGTTTAGGGTTTAGGGGTTTAAGGGTTTAAGTTTAAATTTTATGTTTGGGTTTAGGGTTTAGGGTTTAGGGTTCAGGGTCGGTTTGCTTCGAAATAACTGAGCAGGCTGAGGATTGCTTTAAGAGATTCCAGGGGTGACGGTGAAAGGAAAACCAAGCCCCTATGAACCCAGAGACCCCCAATACCCCTTAGTTAAGGAATATACCTTAAATCTTATTAGGGATCCTACTAGAATTCAAAGTAGATTCCTTAATTTAGGGGTATTGGAGTCTCTGGCAACTCACAACCCTGAACCTTGACGCCCAAACCCTGCCTTATAAAAGGGACCTATGAAGCCCTATGTCAACCCTAAGCCCTACCCTGGAGCGTTGACCCGAAACCTCTCGATCAGAACAGGAGCGAAAACCGCAACCACGAGGATTCCAAGCCCTCTCAAAGCACAAAGCACTCAACAGCCTCCTCCAACCGGTCCGAAGGCTTCAGAGAATAAAGGACCCTAAGATAGGTCCCTGACTACAGTACTATAGGAACCCTAAACCCTAAACCCTAAAACCTAAACGCCTAATCCCCACATATGGTACGCTAGTTTGGCCTTCAGCGTTGTCCACCGGCTTCGGCCTCAAAGACGCAGGGTGTTTGCCCTAAACCCTAAACCCTAAACCCTAAACCCTAAACCCTAAACCCTAAACCCTAAACCCTAAACTCCAAACCATAAACCCTAAACGCTAAACCCTAGAGCCTAAACCCAACGCCCCAAACACTAAACCCTAAACCCTAAACCATAAACCCTAATCCCTAAACCCAAAACCCAAACCCCTAAACCCAAAACCCTAAACCCTAAACCCTGAACCCTTTGGGTTTAGGGCCATGGTTTCGGGGAGAGCTGAAACAAGACCAGGGCTCCGAAAAATCCTGGCGGCTTCGGGCTCTACGGTAGGGGCCTTAATAATTAGAATAGGGTTCCTTTAAAGGGATCCTTAAAGGGTTCCTTTAAAGGGTTCCTTAAAGGGTCTATAAATTTCTATAAGGGATCTATGATAGGGTTCTATAGTAGGGGCCTTAATAATTAGAATGGGGTTTTGGGGTAGTATACTGAAATATAATAAGGAACCCCCCCCCCAAAAAAACAGTGTAGGTAATTTTAAAGGCCTCTATATTACATCCCAATCGCTAGGAGCCCTTATAAGAGAACACAGAACCCTTGTCAAACCTCCCTAAACCCTAAACTATAAAACCCCAAACGCTTCTAAAACCATAAAACCTGTAACCCTAAACCCTAAACAGTAAAACCCCAAACCCTTCTAAAACCGTAAAACCTCTAACCCTAAACCCTAAACCCCCAAAACCCTAAACCCGAACCCCTAAACTCCCAACCCTAAACCCTAAAACCCTAAACCCTAAACCCTAAGCTAACAAGAAAGTTTGGCAGAGAGCCTAAACCCTAAACTATACAACCCCAAACCTTTCTGAAACCCTAAAACCCGTAACCCTAATCACGCACAAACAAACCC